ATATGAAATGTATTCTGATCCTGAAGTGTTGCAATGAAAAGGGCACAACCATGTTAAAACTCCCTTAACATAAGATTGACCAAGCAAAGTTCAAAATGCCTTTTTAGAGGCTTTTCCGGCAAATAATTTCTGGTGTTGCTGAGAGGCAAATACTTTGAGATTGTACTTCAAGGATTTAGGCTGTCTAAAATCCGAACTCATCATGTTCTGTTTTTCACTAGAATGAGTGCTTCACAGAGGGAAAAGGGATTACAAGTGATAAAAAGGAGGTGATCTCTTGTTCTTTAAATCTACTTCCAGGTAGCTTGCATCAAGGCTTACTGTTAACGTGGCTTCGACTTTACTGATGGATTTCCCCTGGATTTCCCCTTCCTCACTTCCTGTACACCTCCCACAGTAACTGTAATGTTGTGCAGCTGCTGTAATCCTACACTGTTGTTGTCCTGCAGTACAGTGAGGGACCTTTGTCCATGACCGGACTCTGTGTGTGGCAGTTTGTTGCATTCATGTGACAGAAGAAAACCACGTGGCATTTCATGAAGGGAAACGCGAGAAAGAGAGCAGAAATAACAAACGCTGAGCAAACAAACAACTTGAGGCACTTTTGTCTTCCTCTTTGGATGAAATGGGTTTACTCAAATAGTCACTGTTTACTGACCATTATAAGTCAAACTTGGACATTAATTCCTTAACTCTTTACTGTCCACATGTTCCTAGTTTAAGCAATCTTGAATGGAGCAGACATGACATAGAATAACATTGTAGTTTCTGTCTTTTTCTAAATGATTTTCACAAATAAAACGGACATTTAAAAAGAATATTAATTTACATTTATCTCATAATTCTGTTTATCTTCAATTTAAAGACGCCAAACATTTAGCTGATGAGCATCGTTTCTCTTAATTACTGTGCTAAAGATGTCTCTGTACAGTTTAAACAGTGGTTCTCAACTGGTCAGGCCTCGGGACCCACTTTGTCCTTTGTCAATAAATCGCGACCCGAAATTTTGAACCACTCAAATCTATAAAACAAAAAATTGTGCTGTAATATATATATATATATATATATATATATATGTATATGTGTATGTGTATATGTATATGTGTGTATATATATGTGTGTGTATATATATATGTATATATGTGTGTATATATATATATATATATATATATATATATATATATATATATATATATATATATATACATATATATGTGTATGTATGTATATATATGTATATATATATATATGTACTATGTATGTATATGTCTCTCCCTCTCTGTCTCTCTCTGTCTTCTCTCTCTGTCTGTCTGTCTCTCTGTCCTGTCTTCTCTCTCTCTGTCTTCTCTGTCTCTCTCTCTGTCTGTTTCTCTCTCTCTCTCTCTCTGTCTGTCTTACTCTCTCTCTCTCTCTCTCTCTCTCTCTCTCTCTCCCTGTCTCTCTCTTTTTCTCTCTCTCTCTCTCTCTTGTCTCTCTCTCTTGTCTGTCTCTCTCTCTCTCTCTCTCTCTCTCTCTCTCTCTCTCTCTCTTGTCTGTCTCTCTCTTGTCTCTCTCTCTTGTCCTGTCTCTCTCTCTCTCTCTCTCTTGTCTCTCTCTCTCTCTCTTGTCTGTCTCTCTGTCTCTGTCTGTCTCTCTCTGTCTCTGTCTCTGTCTCTGTCTCTGTGTCTGTCCTGTCTGTGTCTGTCTCTGTCTGTCTGTCTCTGTCTGTCTCTGCTCTCTTCTGTCTGTCTCTCTGTCTCTGTCTGTCTGTCTCTCTCTGTCTGGTCTCTCTCTCTCTGTCCTTCTCTCTCTGTCATGTCTTCTAGTCTGTCTCTTCTCTTCTCTGTCTCTCTCTCTCTCTCTCTCTCCTCTCTCTCTCTCTCTCTGTATCTCTCTCTGCCAGGCTGCTCTCTCTGCGACCCAGAAATAGTATTGTTATCAGTGGCGCGGCTGGTCAATAAAGGGCGCCGACCTTTTCCTCCCTAGTGGAAAGTGGTTTTGTTTTTCAAATAATGAAATAAATAAAATGAACTGTCACTAATCATCAGAATGTAACTTTAATGTACAATAATGTGTTTTAAAACCGTAGGATACATTCTCTGAGTATGGCGTTATTTTTATCTCTTGTCCTGGGTGGCAGATTACGTCACTTCCGCCGCCTAAAACCGCAGGAGCTAATGGTACATTAGCAAAACAAACGCAATTGTTTGTGTGCAAAAGGTGCACGTTCCCCTCAACTGTTTCAATTGTATTGTTACTCTCAGTACAGCCCCACTTTCCGAACATGAAATGCACGCTAATACAAAATAAAATCGCAATGACACTTATTATATATATATATATATATATATATATATATATATTTTTTTTTATATAAATAAATAACGATATCTTGTATAGTTACACCCGCTAGACAACAGTGGCGGGTTCGACAAACAACCGTGTTGGCCGGGTGCACCGCGGCGGAGGTGGGGAGGTTCCAGCCCTGAACCTCTACCCCGCTGCGGGACCCGTGGTGGGACCCGTCAGACCGTGCGTCGTCGGCCGGCCGGGAAGGAAGAGACACGCAAAGTGGGGGAAGTCCCCCACCCCAACGCAGCACACCCTCCCGGTCATCAGAGTCGAACCCGCAGTTCGGAAGAACCAACCGCCAGAGCAGCAGAACTAGGCCGTGGGCATGGTGGGTCGCGTTTGCCATTCGATCACAGAGCGGAGAGGAGAAAAATGCAACAAAACATGTCAAAATCTGTTAATATATGGATGAGTGGGAGGGGGGGCTGGACACTGGCCGTGGGGGGACACCCGGACCGGGCAGTGTCCCAGTTAGAAGGAACCGGGTGAAATAGCCAACAAAATAAAAATGAATAGAACCGGGGAAAATGTGAAAAAAAGTGTCCGAAAATAGGCACTCGTGAGGCGGGGAGAGTCCCCTGTCAACTCCCGTTACATTCCTCCATGGTATCATTTGAGCGAAAAATGGCTTTTACGAGAACCAGGCTGGGGGGGGTCAAAAGGGCTTGACCAAGGCCGACCCAAAGTGCATGGTGAGCGGACTCATCACCTCCGTGATGAGTCCTTCGGGGGGCCGGGAAAAAAACGTGTTCAGGATCGTCACTTCCTGTACTGCAGGAATCTTCAATAGCCGCGTTCACACCGGAACATCAGCCGTTAGCTGTTAGCACTCAGAGCTCACAGCTCCTCATATTTGTTCAGAAACTAGACAAAAGTGAAACAAGTACAAAACGCAGACTTGTCAAAGCATTAATTCATGGTTTTTACTAACCGGTATCAGTATGTTGTTACGGGCCGGGTCAAACCAAACTGTGCTAAGTGCTGCACTGGAAAAGCGCCAACAGTGAATCCATCGAGGCAAACACACAGACACACTTACCTTTTAAATCGCGCTGTTCATATTTAATTGCAAATATAATATTCCATGACCACTTTGTCCTTCTCTAGGCTGCAGTGAAACTGACCGCATCACGTAGCGTCGCACATACTGTTGAGTATTTCTTTTGTCGAGCTGGAGCCATGAACACCCCCCTCTCCCGAAATAAAAAACTATTCAAATTTTTAAAAGTGCGCCATAGTTTCCATTATAAACGGCGAATGTTGTCGTAGCCGACAACTTTGAAGCTTCAAATAAGCCATTAAAAAAAAAATATTATATCTGATGTGTGCAACTTGCATGAAACCGGGCTAAGTTTGCTAGCACGATAATGAGCTAGTTAACCAGCTAATGTTAGCTAACTTAGACTTACATTTTTAATAACCAAATACTGACTTCAGCTGACAAGCTAATAGGAATATAACAAGTTAACCAAGCACATAAACATACTCACATGACTCCACATCGATGAATATTCAAATGAAATGGTCGACCAAGCAGTCTTCAAGTTCCACTCAAATGTCAACCTTCTGAGTAGACTGTCCGTGCATGTCTGCGGGGGCAACGTGCGGGAAATACTCTCCTATGACGTCACCCACAGTTAACTTGCATTTCCCATGTACATTTTAATAGCTTTAACAGGTTGTACAGTCAATACAATAATTTAGGTAATATTTACTTGGTGCTATTGTTAAAATTCACTTATCAAAATGAAGATTCAAAATTACATAGAAACACAAGTAACACATTAAATAAAAGGAGACATTTGGAGTAAAATTACTGAAATACTAATGTATTGTAGAATTTAAACATATAATCAAAGTAATATTTACAAAGCCAAAAAGTCCTTTTTTTCAGTGTGTAAAGACACCATTACAGTAGTCCAGTCTACTGAAGATAAAAGCATGGACACGTTTTTCCAAATCCTGAAATCTTTCTTTCATCCTTTTTATTTTATATATTTTTTTATAACTAATGCTGTTGATATATTGTGATTTTAAGGGTGTCTATTACCATCTGGCCGGGGACAACAGCTGGAAATTAGCCATGTCGGCTAAAGCTGCTCCATTTACTGTTTTTGTGACAGTTCATCGATGGGGACTGTCCACAACACTATAAATAAATAAACTAAACTAAATGGCAGGTTTGATATGGGCCTGTAATTGTTCATTACAGAAGCATCTCGATTATTATTTTTTAAGAGCGGATTAATGACTGCAGTTTTTAGGGCCTGTGGAAAAACACCTGAGTGAAGAGACTTGTTTACTATGTGAAGTAGATCTGAGGCCATGCAATGAAAAACATGTTTGAAAAAGCCATTTGTTTTCTAGCTTTTCACTATGGTTTTGTCAATTCACTGTTTACCTGGACTTTCCTTTTTTACTTTGTTCATTCAAATACATACATGCGTACAAAGTATTACAATCTGAAAAAACTCCTTACATAAATTAATAGTTGATTACATTTTTTTAAGGAGCAGAAAAACTGTTTAGCTTTTTCCCACATAATCATTTTTTTCCTAAACTTTCTTATCATTCATTTAAAAAAAAAAAAAAAAAAGGTAAAGTGAGTTTCTTTCGCAAAAATAGAATGTTGTTCTGCTAAATAAATAACCTCCTGTCACCCCCCCCAGTCTACCTGTTCGTGGGTCTGATGGTGATGTTCCTGCTGCTGCGCACCTTCCACAAGATGGCCGACCTGCACGGCCTGACCACCTTCCTGCAGCTGCCGCGCTGCGAGGAGTCCGACCTGGAGGAGGACAGGGAGCCCATGGTGGAGGTCGGACACAAAGACCTGACTGAGAAGGAGGCCACGAAGCCTCTGGAGCCGGGCTCCCAGCCCTCCTACAACACCATGAACACCGGATAGGCTAAGGCAGGGGAGAAAAGAAAACTACCTCTGGCACGCAGACTGTCGGCTGAATCTGAAATATGACTTTGTTAAAAACAACCCAAAAGGAGAGCATATTGATGAGGAATTGAGATGAGTTTTAAGATTCAGCCTTTGTGAGAGCAAGCCACATTCTTTGAGTGGTAACTACAGCGCTCTCTGGAAGTATGAAAGGACTCTCCTGACTACGTTACCCTGCCTGGGATCAAATATGTGGTAACAATTGTTCCTTTTCCTCCTCCACACCGCTGTAACTGTGGTGCGTTCACTGTAAGGGTTTGGCTGCTGCGTTCACAGCCTCAGGAACACACATTCACTTTTTGACTAATGGTTTATTGTTTTCAGATCCCTTTGCATGCATTTCTGTCACGTTGTTTTATGTGTCACAGGTTTGCTGACAGTGCTTTAACACCTTTGCCTTCATTTGTTTTGATTTCATTGTCTTGCTCCTACCCTTTTTATATTTCATGTATGCACATCATCACCTCCAGCAGTCCAGTTGTGCAGAAACAGGATTGTCCTTACTCACTTTTGCACCACTTGAACGCATCTTCCAATGTGGTCCTAAGCTGAGCATTTAAAAATGCTGAGGATGTGTTGGACCAGACTTCCTGTGTGGAAGAAGTCAGGCTCAGCCTTGGTACAGAACCCTCAGACAGCACTGTCCCCCTTTATGGTGCTGCCCCCTGCTGTTTACAGGTATGAAGCACAACATGTTAGGAGGAGTCATACAAAAGGGCTAAAGGGTTGGAAAAGAGGGATTGAGGAAAATAAAGAAAAGACTAACCTTTGTTTCATTGTGGTGATGCAGGAAGTAATTAATTTCAATGGAAAACCAAAAACAACATGTTCTGTGTGATTTAGAGATCATGAACACTTGAAATGCACTTTAATGTTCATGTCGGTTATTGTTCTCTTACCATCGAGGTTGTTGAGTAATGAGAAGGCTAAATATATCCTGATACTGTAAAATAAGTCGTCTGTTTTTGTTGTTGTATATTGATGTTAAGTCGTATAGTAGATTAGTTATATAGTAGTTTAACATATATTCACTGTTGATGTAAATTAAAAATACTTTTTGCCTGTATTAGGTTTTCATGTTTTGTTCCGTTTTTCTCATAGTTTTCATTCAAAAATGTTATTTGTTGTTCAGTCACGCATTATCTGAAGTACTGTAACAGTCCCTTGCTTTGCTCCGTGCTCTGAGAGCAGAATTAGATTAGATTATTATTTTAGATATACTTCATTGATCCCAAATTGGGAAATGGTTTTATCACAGCAGCCTGTTAACAAGGCATTGCACACAAATTAAATATAAAATAAAATAGAATGAAATGATGAATAAAAAAAAACTTGAATGGTAAATATATATCAACAGTAGAAATAGATTCGCAATTCTAAAAAATGCCAGATACGTAATATACAGAATAAGTTAATACAAATATATATACATATACATACATATACATATACAAATATACTACATAATTACACAAGTGTGCAAGTGATTTTCAATTTTTTGAAATTTCTCAAATTGAAATGTAATCTAATGAAAGAATCAAACACTGGTTCCGTTTCTTATTCAGTGCTTTTAATCAAAAACACCTCTGGTTGGAGATTTAGCTTACAAAATGGTATGCTCCGACTGTCGTGATTCTAAATTGTTAAGTAAATGAATTGAACTCCTCCACACTCAATTACTGCTGGAATATTGAACTCAATGTTTCAGAATATTAAAGCTTCAAATAAGATTGAAGGTGTCATTGTTTTAAACGTTGTATCTTTTCTCCTTTGCAACTGCTGGAATCAAATACTGCAGCTTCCTCCGGGGCCATAAGTGGAAATACTGCAGTTAAGAGTTCAATTCACAGAATGCTGTTTCAGCAGTTTGCTTTGAACCAAAATGTCAAACCTCTGTCTTAAAGTGTACTTAATACATTAATACATCATGTAAATAATGAAAATACAGCATTGTTTCATTTCACATTTTATTCAAAATATCAGTATAGTTTAACAGCATTTGCATTTATAAAAATACATAGTGTCCAGGCATTCTGCCCTCAATTAAACATAACCATTCAAATACAAGTAAATCAAATAACTGCCATGACGGTACATTAATAAACCATTAGAAAAATATGGAACGACATAATAACTCATCTTAACAAATACTCCATTTATAAATAGACTGCAGTCCAGGTACTCACAAAGAAACTCTGCATAGAAAGCAACTGATCTAAAACAGGATCAAAGTACACCTGACAGAAAGGTATCATGTGTTCCCAAACTATTTATCATTATTTACCATTTCAAACAGAGATGGATTACATGCTGGATCAACATATACAGCTGGTTACGATGCAGTTCAAAACACCTGAGCAAAGTGGTTTGCTTTGAAAGAACAAACATTAACATAACATGTCATTGCGCTTCACTTTACGGGTTCAAATTAATTAGGCTTAGTTTTACCACTGCTTAATAAATACAGAGTAAACAGACCCCACATGACTTAGAAATGCATATTATTTACAAAAGTGCAAGAATTCAGATGTAAACCAGACAACACGAGTGGACCCCCCTAAACTGAGCTGTCAGGCAGCACCACCTACACTCCATCAGCCAACATGGCTAACAGCGTGCTGCTCCACACCCAGCAGGACGGATCAGTAATATCACATCTGTACAACAGAAGCTGTGTAGTGGTTGTGACACAGTGGCTCTGAACTGCTACATTGAATCCATGACAATGTGTTAGCACAGTACTGTAAAGCTATTTGAATGGAAACATCTGTTGAACAGTCCGCTGGTAGAGAGGCAGGAGATTTTCACTGAGTATTATTCTTTACTGCTAAAATAGGATACATGAAAATATACTGTACCTCCAGTTGGTGAAGTATAACTGATAATGAACTGATGGATACAAAGAAGAATCGCAAAGCTAACAATAACCTTAAATAATTATACACATTGAAAAAAAAATACCAGTTCTTGTGGATTTCTTCTGAATAAAACTCACATTTTCTGGGTGCTGCTATTCTTAAAATCCTGACCTCATCTCTTAGCACCTGATACCGGGCCCCCTGTTCGAACTCAGTGATAAATATGAGGCTAAAATGTTTCTTCATAGAAGTTTGAACCATAATATACTAGTGTATCAGTTATTCTCCTTCAAATACCAGCCTCACCACATCCTCTCACATTCACATTTTACACGTGTTATAAGGGATTTATCTCATGTGTTCAGTCCACTGTTCACAACAACAGTACATGAATGGTTGCGGATTTTTTTCCCTACTCTAGGTAAACCAGGATGTTCAATGTGAACTCAGTTTTACTCGAAGCTGTGATACATTTGACAAATGTTCTGTTATGTTTCTCTTACATCATCTTATTTGCTGTATAAATCCTGTTTTAGAATCTGACACCTCCCTTCCCCTCCCTAGTTCCTATTAACTTAGTCACACTGGACACTGTAGTAAAATGCTTTTCAGCAGTTCCTTATAAGCTGACTCATTAAAAAACAGCCTTATCTGGTTTACTGCCCACATAGTTTTCACCGTGACTTGACCTCCATTTTTGCCAGTGAAACACTAACGCTTTATGTTTTACAAAAAGCTGCCAGTTGCTTCACAGCTAATCTTCATGCTAGCCCAATTTTAGCATTTCCTGTCTTAGACGCCAACCGTTTCAAATTCTAACTACATTCTGAAACCCATTATACACTTTTCATTGAGGAATATATCAAAACAAAGTGAATATTTCATTTGTTTGATAATTCAGTCTCTTTGCCTTTCAGTTCACTGTTCACTAACTTAGTGAATGCTGTTCAGGCTATTTATTTGCAGTATCACGGGGCGATCAGGACTCCACCAGGATCTCCATCAGATGCTCCAGATCCAGTCCTTCTCTCACATGATTCTGACTCGAGAAGTGTGGCGACGAAAGAGAAGGTAGAGAAGAGGAGGAGGAAGAGGACAACGGGCCGAATGAGGAGAGCGAAGGCAGGCACTTCAGATTCTGGTTGAGAGAAAGGGAGAAGGGGTGTGAGAGGGAGGAGGAGAAAGGTGGCAGATACCGTAAAAGGTCATCCCCAGTCGGGCATCCACCTCCACTGCCTATAAGCCCAAGAACTTCCATGTCCCTCTCCAGCAGGGATGTGTCTATATCCTGGAACAGGTCCTCCACAGTGAGCTCACTGAGGTAGCTGCACCTCATCAGCTCTGTGCTGCTCTCCCACGCCCTCCCCTCTTCCTGCTGCTCCCAGCCTCCACCATAGCCTCTGAGTCCCTGCTTCACCCACGCCACACCTCCATCAGAGGGCGCCGACAGGTTCTCCAAGGATCTGAGAGGCGTCCGGGGAGCTGCCTGGGAGCTACCATCAATGGTAGAGTCCAGTGCAGTGAGGATGGACGAGATGGCAACTGAAAGGGAGAAATCAGAATCCATGGACATGGATCCCCAGTCCTCATCTTCATCTTTTAAAGACAGAGGGGCATTTGATGCAGGAACACAATATGACAAGTCATTTAAAGTAACCGTAGGGCAACTTACAAGAGCCGAGTGGCTGTTAGAAAACGTCTCTGCGGGGTGCTGTTTTGCGGTGACAACACTCTTGTGAAGTGCAGATGAAGAGCTACAGGGTGGTGGTGACACCTCCATGTCCACAGAGGGCGCTGCAACAGCTTCCAGGCTGACCTGCCGCAAGGTGTTGGCGATCAGGACGGACCTCCGCAGGCTGGGCTCAGGCAGCTCTTGGCCATGATGATACTTGTTCAGGGAAACTGAGAACACAAACTGGCGCTGGCTCTCCCACATTGGGCTGCTCCTGTCTGAGACCTCCACCTCCTCTGGTGGGTGTTTTCGCTTCTGCCCCTTCATGATCATCTTTATACTGTGGAGGAAGGCATAAACGGTTTAGTGGACAGTATTGCTACCAAAAATCAATGTAGTATACGTTTCTCAGTGTTTTAAGTAAAGGAATGAAGGTTTTAAATAAATCAACAAATTAATGAGTTAAGTATACATTTGATTACTGCAAATTAGGGCTGCTCGATTATGGCAAAAATCATAATCTCGATTATTTGGGTCAATAATTGATATCGCGATATTAAAAACGATTATCCATTTACTTTGAAAACATCCATTTATTGAAAGAAAATGGTGAACAGTATGTTTTTAACAGTTGATCACCCTGAACTTTAAGTATAATTCAACTGAAAAACCAATAAAAAAAATTATCGAAAAAAAAAAAATTGTTTTATTGCGATTATGTTGTTTTCATAAACGTTGCAAGCCAAAATCGTAATTGCGATGAATTGAGCAGCCCTACTGCAAATCTGTGCTAAATCCTTATTACATATTGTTTTGGGGTTTTTTATCAATGAAAATTTAATCTAGTGTAAATAAATTCATTCATGCGAATCAAGTTTTTTTTTTTTTTAAACTGTTCCTACTTTAAGATATCACTTTGAACACTTTGTTTTAAGTCACCTTATTATGTTAAGAAATCTAATTGGCAGTGGTGGAATGTAATAAATTACAGTTACTCAAGTGCTTTACTTAATTACATTTTTTCGGTACTTAACATGAGTATTTTAATTGAATACTACTTTAAACATATATTCCACTTCATTTTGGAAGCCACTATTACACTTTTTACTCCACTACAGTTATTTGACAGCTTGAATTACTTTACGGATTCAGATGATCAGATAATACTCAAATATAAATCAACTGATGAATAGACATAGTGAGATATGAATATAGATTAAGATATCCAGCAGCAGTATTTAAGGTAACTCAAATGAGCTCCACAATTACCAGCTGTGGTAATAATCCAGTCATATGAATCTGAAATAGGCCATTATGCATAAGTACTTTACTTTTGGTACTTTAATTATATTATAATGCTAATAATGTTGTACTTTTACTTGAGTACAATATCAAACTTTAAAATGGTATCTTAGTAAAGATTTGATTATTTGTTAAACCCCTGCTAATCAGTAATAATAAATGATTTAAAGTTAGAGCCCTTAGGCTAAGAGTGGATAGGGAGGGGGCAATATAATAGATGAAGAACCAGCAGTGTTGGAAGAAGTACAAATACTATCATCTTAAAATACCTCACTACAAGTAAAAGTCCTGATTTCAAAATGTTACTTAAGTAAAAGTGCAAAAGTATTAAGAGTCACAAAGTACCAAAAGTAAATGGTTCTCGTTCTGCACAATGGCCCATAACAGAAGTATATAAAGTACAGCTTGAATTAAAAGCTAAATATCATCCTGTTTGTATACGTGTAAGTAGTGGTTTAGTATTGAAATTGGTCAATGTGGAGCCAATTTAGATAAATACTGTGTAATTAGTAGTATAGTACTGCATTTTGCCATATCAGCATATCATGTTTATTTATAGCCTATGTACAAAGTAACTATGAGTTTTAAAATAAATGCACTTACTACTTAAATGCAAATACTTTGAATGGAAATACTCAAGTAAAGTACAGATACGTCAAAAAAGTACTTCAAGTACACTTGAGTAAATGTACTTAGTTACTTTCCACCACTGACAACCCGTGTCTTGAAGTAAATAACATACAATGTCCTGTGTATTTAAACGGATTTACTGCTTTGTGATTATTCAAATGTGGCTGAATGATATGGCAACTAATTGCATGTCGTTAATACTGTAAACATTTTAGATATATCTTGAAAACATTATAATACGCTTAAATTAAATAACCGTGATACATAGAGGGATAATGTAATGCGTAGAAGTTTTCTGTGAACACGAGCTTAGTCTCAGTTAGCTAGTTATATGCGGGTTGGGGGTTGTTAGCATTATCGTTCAGGAGGGAAACGGAGCCCTTCTCGCCCAAGGCCATTGAAAAGCAACAAACGTGATAACAGACACAACACGAGTTAACTATTGGGCTTGTTCTGTCATTAAACATTAAAATAACTGAAAGTTAGTCATAAATGTAGCAAACAGACCTGTTGAATCACTCCTCGTCCCTCTCCAGTAACGTAAGGTTTAGTAGTGGATACCGTTACTGTTTCTGTTTGTTATTATGTCGTTTTCCCGCCTCCTCTTCGACCCAAACACAGTTTCCCGTCTCATTAGGAAAAAGTCGGCAGTTATAAACTATTAAAACGTTCTGTTTCGAACTCTTAACACTACAACTTCACTTCAGCCGACTGCCTCGGTGTTCTCCCGCCTGTGATTTGAGCAGAGTTTCACACCAAAAGCATTCCAGTTGGGGGTTGGATGTTTGGAAAGGCATTGTGGGTAGTTTATGTACGTTGCATTCAATCAGTATAATTCCACGTTACAAACACTTGTAACTGTTTTTATGAGACATTATGATAATAATACACTTCACAAAATATGTACAGATGTCAATTCACTCCCGGCCTGATTAATTTCCGCCCATACCGGAAAGTCAAGCTTGTTATTATGTAATTTGCATTGCATTGTACTAATTCCTTAATGATTACATCACCGACAGGAGGATGTCCATCCACATATTGTCTTTTTGTACAAAGCATGACAATTTGTGTGTAAAACACTAAGAATTACATACAAATATGGGTTCTAATTGTCTCGTATTATTTCAAGTTTGTATTAAAGTTACTGTAATAAAAAAGGAAAACGTCTTCGAGGATATTAGACTGGTCCGATTATAAATCGAAACTAGAGGATATCATTTAAAATGCACACCATTCACTGCCATTTAAATACAAATAAAGACAAAGCAAAAATAACAATTTTAAAAGTGTGGATCCTGACATGTACACTTCCACAGAAAGTCTTTTTTTAACTATAATAAAATATACTATTGACCAAGTCAATCTTATTTCAGAGACTGTGTTATTTACCTGAGAGCAGCATTCGTCAGGGAGGAAAAGGTCTATGGACACAACTCGTCTAAAGTAAACTATCAATATGTCAAAGTTTACTGTTTCGATTTAAATTCCACCACTCGACATTACGCCACCTAAAGAACCAGAGTCAACTTTGAAAAACAGCTTTAGCTCCTCCTCGGCCTGTGTATTGGACGGCGGAGAAAAACAAGTTGACAAAAATAAAACAACTTCCTGTTCCAAAATAAAATTCAAATAGAGGAACATCAGTCTACGGAGCCCCCCTGGTGACATTGGTGAGAAAAATATTAATACGTGGCCACGTATTAATAATGCGTGGCCACTAATTAATAATGCGTGGCCACGAGTTAATAATGCGTGGCCACGAGTTAATAATGTGTGGCCACAAATTAGTTATTATGTTCCCACGAGTTAATAATGCGTGGCCACGCATTATTAATTAGTGGCCACGCATTATTAATACGTGGCCACGTATTAATATTTTTCTCACCAATGTCACCAGGGGGGCTCCGTAGACTTCAATGCATAATTTTTCCGAAATAAGGTCCCATACCCCGGAAGTAAGTGGGAGGGACTTCGCCACTCTATAGCGGGCCCTCTGTGAATCGCAGAGAGGCCCGCTATAGAGTGGCGAAGTCCCTCCCACAATGGCTGATTTGGCACTGCTAGAGGACTTGGCGAATGAAAGAGTGCGGAGGGAGCGAAATTTCAGAGACCAGCAAGATTTGCTGGCCAATGATGATGAGTGGCTCATGAGTCGGTTCCGACTTCCAAGAGCCATTTTGTTGGAGCTTTGTGCTGTGTTGGGCCCGGCTTTGCAGAGAAGCACACTAAGAAACCGAGCCGTGCCGGTTCCAATCCAAGTGCTTACAACACTTGGATTTCTGGCAACCGGCACGTTTCAGAGGGAAATGGCTGACAGGTTGGGGATATCCCAGCCAACCCTCAGCCGTGTTATGCCAGATGTGTTGGGAGGTATCATTGCGTTGTCGCATTTGTACATTAAGTTTCCTTACACGGTGGGTGAGCAGGCAAATAAAAAAATGCAATTTGCAACAATGTCCGGTTTCCCAAATGTAATCGGTGCCATTGACTGCACTCACATTGCTTCAAAGTGCATTCGTTAATCGAAAGCACTTTCATTCCATTAATGTCCAAATCATATGTGATGCGAACATGCTGTTAACAAATGTAGTTGCTCGGTGGCCTGGGTCAACCCATGACGCCTTCATTTGGCGTAACAGCGAGTAGTATGAAGCTGCAGCCTCGGAGGAGGGTGCACTCTCAGGACCCTAGTTGTTTTGCAACATCGCCACCTAGTGAGCAGGAGACATGAATATGAACGACAACGCAGAGAGTGTGAGTAGTGTGAAGTGCTTTTAAAGTTTTATTTGTTTAACATTAATAACAATTCCGGTGTCTTGAAATGAAGTGTGATTAGCTAACATTAACTATGATAGTCTTAAGGCAATACAAACAAACATCTGTTAGCTTATGATAGCTTCTAACAGTATTAAAGGCACTAAAAACAATTATTTGTTAGCTATAGCTTTCGGCAAAAGCTAATGCTAATAGCATTAGCTTCATTAGCATATTTGATTATTTGTTTAATGAAACTGTAGCATGATTTTGGCAAGCCCAACTAGGTGTCCTACATTAATTGTTGATTTAATCACTAATTACAGTAACACGTGCTAAATGTCATCTGTTAGCCTATGATGACTCGCTGCAAAACCAACTGTTAGCCTTTTTGTTTATTTGTTTAATGAAACCGTATGTTATGGTTATGTTATTTAGCAGAGGCTTTTATCCAAAGTGACTCACAAAAAACATAAAAGAACCATAATTAACATTAAATTATCAATACAAATAGTTACATAGTCAGTTACATTACGTATTACATTTTTAACAGGGTAATTAGTCATCTGTAACCTACATTTTAAAAAAGTAAACTTCCCAACCCTGATCATTAATTATAGTCAGCTAATTAATTAAACTTCAAAGGATGACGAAAGCATGTCAATATGATCTGTCTGTCCGCTACATTAAATCAGCAGTAGCCTAATATAAGTTCTGTCTTCAGTGTAAATGCTTCTTTAATAGTCATTGTATTACTATTTGAATTCATTGTAAATAATCTTAACTGTGCTGACTGCCTGTTTACTGTTTATCAGACAGTCTCATCATTTTGACATGTTTTGTAATATTGCATGAGGTGTTTTAGTCAGTTATTATGTCGGCCTATTCTGTAGGTTAGAATCTGTCGTGTCAGAATCTAACAATTAGGCCTAATTTATGTCTGTCTGTGAAAGTATTTCAAAATGTTCAGTTTGACCAATTAGGCTCTCTCTTTTTCAAGATGCATATTTCAATCCAAGAAGGGAGATCCTTGCCCGATTTACAACGATGCACTACATGTTGCAAAGTCTATAAAGTGTCTTTACTTCTGCCTTCTCCTATCCTAGTATTATGAAGTTGATTGACTAAGAGTAAGGTCAGCTAAATTAAGGAAGGTTTTGTTGTTTTTCTGTCTGAATTGTAATTTTCTTATGACATTCTACTTCAGGTGTCGTCAACTGGAATGTCTTCTCAGAGGGACACAAAAGGGAATTTCGGAAGGAATACCAAATTTCCAGGTGCTTTTACTGCGACAACCTTTATAAGGACGTTGGCACAGGCTACCGGGGAAGTGGACGGCGAGGAGTGTTGCAGGGTTTTTACTCAGAAGAGGGCTTCCCGGGGTACTGCAGCTGGAGCTGTTGTCTGGTGGTTGAGGGAACAGCAGACCCCGCCTCACCCCAGTGAAGAATCCACAGTGTGGAAATTGTGCCCAATAAATAAAAATGTATTCTGCACTGAAATTCCTCTCGTCAAATTGCATGTTTATCCTTTGCAGCCTGGTGCATAAACACACTAACAGTTGTTTTTGAGTAATCTAGCACCTCTTCAAAGACACATTTGATTTGATTTATTTCGAACGTGTAATACAATAAAAAAAATATATATATAATAATGATATGAAACAAGAGAATTATGATACTGTAGAAACATAAGCAGTATCAAATTGATTCAAAGGAGTTTACACTTATTTAACCCCACCCCTTCTCCCAAAAACTAAATTAACAGTTTTCTTTTAACAAAATATACATCTAAATGTATGTCTACATACAATATACATTTACAATTATAAATAGATTATATCATTATTACTACAATATATATATATATATATATATTTATGTTGTATGTCAAATTTGATAAAGACAAATATAAAAGACTATCTTTTTACATCTGACATACAAAATACATTTGTTATTAAAAATCAAAAACATATTAACAACTTGTTGTTAATAATAATAATGTAATTTCAGTAAGAAAAACATATTTTCATGCATTTTTAGATGGTTAATAACAAGCATTACAATGTCTAAAGAGACTCGCAGTGTATGAGACTCAATACTCGCTGGTTGTACTTTTGCGGTCATCCAATCCGCTAGGTGGCGATGTTGCAAAACAACTAGGGTCCTGAGAGTGCATGCGGTCCTGAGAGTGCATGCGGTCCTGAGAGTGCACCCTCCTCCGAGGCTGCAGCTTCATACTATTGGTAACTAGAGATGGCAAATCCGGATCATTTTACGGACTCAGGGTCTTCTGAGTCAGTCATTGAAGAGATCCGGATCATACGAGTCATTTGAGTCATATGAGTCAGCATGACCAAGACCGTAGAAATCCTATTGGTGAAACCGAAAAGTTGTTGCATTTCACGAGCATATTATTATTCCATATATTTTGAATATATATATATATATATTTGTATATATATATATATATATAATATCTGCATGTATATTTTCTATTTCGACATGTATATTTTATATTTTATATTTTATTTTATTTTTATTTCTATTCTTGTATATTTTGTAGTTTTGTTTTATTGTAAAATGCCTTATGCTGCTGTAACAACAACAATTTCCCAATTTGGGATCAATAAAGTACTATCTATCTATCTATTAAACTGACGTTATATTAACCTCCGCTACACAGTGTATTTTGCTTTAATAAAAAATGTTGATCACAAAAAAAAGGGTTATTTTGCGATTTGGCAAATCTGAGTCTGCTGTTGACTCGTGCATGAGGACGAGTCTGCTGGATCTCTGGATCTGCTGCTATATGGTTACGGCTCCGAGTCCGCACGAGTCTGATCCGCTGTGTGTTGCAGCGAGTCAGGATTTGCGAATCTGCGAATCTGCGAACCCGAGTCTGCTGTGTGGACTCGTGCATGACGACGAGTCTGCTGGATCTCTGGATCTGCTGCTATACGGTTACGGCTCCGAGTCCGCACGAGTCTGATCCGCTGTGTGTTGCAGCGAGTCAGGATTTGCGAATTTGCGAATCTGCGAATCTGCGAGTCTGCTGTTGGAGCCGTCGGCTCCTCTGAGTCCCCACGAGTCTGCAGGAAGTTTCACTGATCCGCGTCCCCTCCCCTGAGCCAAACGATCACTTCTGGCAGCTATCCTGTGACTGTATACTTACTAAAGGGTAGGTAGATGGACTTGGGGTACGTTGTAATGTGATTTTACATGTTATAAAGAGAGTAGCGAGTGACGCAATTTAAGTTTTAATTTGTACGTCACACCAAGTGTGGGACTCAAGGACTCGGGTTAATGGAGAGGGGAGACTCGTCATGACCAGCTCATTTCTAGGATCCGGGTTAATGATCCGGATGAATCAGGACTCGCCCATCTCTATTGGTAACAGCAGTGTTGGCCGCAGACTTGAGGCCGGAGCTGTGCGTGATGGCTGGCTTTTAGGTAAGAATGATTAATGTAAAACCTACGGAGCCCCCCTGGTGACATTGGTGAGAAAAATATTAATACGTGGCCACGTATTAATAATGCGTGGCCACTAATTAATAATGCGTGGCCACGCATTATTAACTCGTGGGAACATAATAACTAATTTGTGG